TCATTGCTCCAGAGGCTAAAAGTCTAAAATCAAAGTGTTGATATGGTCAATTCCTTATGGAGGCTCTAAGGGAGTTTGCCCCATGCCTCTCTCCTAGTTTCTGCTGATTGCTTAGTTCCTGGCGTTCTTTGGCTTGTAACTGCACCACTTTGATCTCTGACTTCATCTTTCCATGTTATTCTTCCTGTGTCTCTGTGTCCAAAATATCCTCTTTGAATTAGGATTGAAAATCACAATGAGATACCACCTCACACCTGTGAGAATGGCCAAAATTAGCAACTCCAAAAACAACAGGTGTTGGTGAAGATGCAGTGAAAGGGGAGCCTTCTTGCACTGCTGGTGGGAATGCAGCCTGGTGCAGCCACTCTGGAAACAGTATGGAGGTTCTTCAAAAAACTAAAAATAGAACTACCCTATGATCCAGCAATTGCACTATTAAGTATTGACCCAAAAAGATTACAAAATACATATTTGAAGGGATACCTGCATTATTGACAATAGCCAAACTATGGAGAGATCCCAAATGTCCATGGACTGATGAATGGGTAAAGATGTAGTATATATATACGTAGTACATACATACAATGGAATATTACTAAGCCATCAAAAAGAATGAAGATTTACCATTTGCAATGACATGGATGGAGCTAGAATGTATTATATTAAGCGAAATAAGTCAATCAGAGAAAGATATATGATTTCACTCATACATGGAATTTAAGAAACAAAACAATGAATATATGAGAAATGGGGGGAAGAGAAGAGAGAGAATCAAACCACGAAAGTCTCTTAAACTGAGGGTTGATGGAGGGAGGTGGATAGGAGATGGGATACATGGATAATGGATATTAAGGAGGACACTTGTGATGAGCACTGGGTGTGATGAATCACTGAATTCTACTCTCCAAACCAGTATTGCACTCTAAGTTAACTAACTAAAATTGAAATATAAATAAATAAATAAATATATGAGATTTGGGAGTTCTTTATTTGCTTTAGAAAAAACTGCATTAGGGGTGCCTGGGTGGCTCAGCCAGTTGAGCCTCCGACTTCCACTCAGGTCATGATCTCCCGGCATAGGTTCAAACCCCGCGTCGGGCCCTGTGCTGACAGCTAGCTCAGAGCCTGGAGCCTGCTTCAGATTCTGTGTCTCCCTCTCTCTCTGACCCTCTCTTGCTCATGCTGTCTCTTTCTCTCTCTCTCTCTCTCTCTCTCAGAAATAAAACATTTTAAAAATTAAAAAAAAGAAAAAACTGAATTATATCTCCCATACATTTTTCTACATCATATTTTTCTTACTTGTCAGTAGTTAATAGAAATCCCATCAAGGTAACTGTTACTGCTCAAATTCATTTTAATGACTCCTTCATTTTTCATGAAAAATGTAGATACACTAAAATTTATTTAACCTTATTCTCTTGATATATATGTCTTGCTTCTGATTTTTTTGCCCCTGTGAAACAATGCTGTAATAAACACTCTTACACTCAGTTCCCTTTATTTCTATGGGATAGGTTCCGGAGAGTGAGATTTCTGAGTTAAAAGAGATTTCCTGGGTCAAAGATACATTTTTATTTTGAATAGATGTTTTCAGGTTTCTTTCCAAAATGGTTGTAATAATGTCTACAAGCGATGTAGGTGAGTACATTGCCCCCATCATTGCCAGAAATCAGTGTTATTGTATTTTTTAAGCCTTGGAGAAAATGGATATATAAGGTAATACTTCATTGTTCTCTGCCTACCAGTGAACATGAGCATCTTTTTCTATGTTTGTTATACATTTGAATTTTCTCTTCTGCAATTTCCATACATAGACTTTACTATTTTATTTTTTGATAAGATGCAATAACTTTGCATGCTACAGACACTCATCCTTTATCTGCCAACTGTATTATTATTCTCCATTTCTCCCACTTAATTGACTATCTTTGGCATGCATATTTTTAAAATTTTATGGTCAGTTATATCCATATTCTTTTTTAAAAAATTTTTTAATGGTTATTTTTGAGAAAATATATTTTTTTCAAAAATGGTTATTTTTGAGTGAGGGAGGGGCAGAGAGAGGGGAGACACAGAATGTGAAGCAGGCTCCAGGCTCTGAGCTGTCAGCACAGAGCCCAATGCAGGGCTCAAACCCACAAACTGTGAGATCATGACCTGAGCTGAAGTCAGAGGCTCAACTGACTGAGCCACCCAGGCGCCCCATGTCCATATTCTTTTGAGTACATCTGTGTTTTTTTGTGTTTATTGGGGTCTTCCCAACTTCCAGGTTGTGTGTATATTTATGGTCCTTTGATTTTCTGTTTTTCACACTTAAATGTTTATTCATTTTTCCTACTTTTAGCATGACATAGATAGATATCCAACCTTATTTTTCTTTTTTTTCCCTTAAATAGTTTATTGTCAAGTTGGTTTCCATACAACACCCAGTGCTCATCCCCACAAGTGCCCTCTTCCATGCCCATCTCCCCCCTTCCCCACTCCCACACCTTCTGCCTTCAGTTTGTCCTCAGCATTCAAGAGTCTCTCATGGTTTGCCTCCCTCCCTCTCCCCAACTATTTTTCCCCTTCTTCTCCCACTTCGTCCTCCATTAACTTCCTCCTAATCCACCTATATGTACAAACATATGGTATTTGTCTTTCTCTGCCTGACTTATTTCTTTAGAAAGATAACCAACTATTATTTAATAGTGTTAGAACTATTAAATAATTTATCATTTTATGCACTGTCTTGAAAAACCACCTTTGTCATATATTTTTTATAAATAATGAGATTGCTTTCTGGGATATTTTTGTAGTTTCTCTATTTATCTATTATTTTTCAATACTATATTAGTATGAGTACAGAAGAGCAGACATTAAGGTCTCACATTCTGTACTAGTTAGATACTGTTGCTTAGTAGTTTACAGCAATTATCTTTGTAAACAAAATTGCTCACCTATTTTGTTAGTTGGGTGGGTGTCTTTTCTGTTCTGAGTCACTTCTGATTTGTTGGGCTTGCCCGTGGACATGTGGTCAGCTGGTGCATTGGCCAGTAGCTGGGTTATCTAGGATGGTCACACTCACATGTCTGACTGTTGTAGGCTGTTCACACTGGTGCCTCAGTCTCCTCCACATGATCCCTCCTACTTCAGCAGACTAGTTCAGGTTCAGGTCCATGGTAATCTTGGAATTTTGAGTGTGGTAAGAAAGAGAAAGACCTAATGTGCAATATATATATATATATAATGTTTACTACTGTCTTAGAGGTCAAAGCAAGCGAAAGGCCAAATTCAGATTCAAGGCAGGTAGAAGGGGTGGGGAAAATATACTCTGCTCCTTGATGAAAGAGTTGTGCATGTAGGAACTGGAAGAATTTATGGCCATTTTAAGACATTTCCACATATTAAGAACCAGAATGAAACTTTGTTTTCCAGCATCAAATAAGATCCTACCACTCTCTAGGTTATAAATTTCCCTTGGCATCCTTGATCTTCAGAATAAACTCCAGAACTATCAGTATGACATGGTCTAGTCTCTGCCCACACCAGGAGTGCCCATTCACAGTGATACCTTGAACTCCATCATGCAGAACTATTTTGTCTTCCTCTCTCCTGTACCTTTGCTCAACTTAAGCCAATAGTGATGGACTTTTATTTTCCTCTCTCCATTTTTCTGCTTTGACTCATACTGGAACCAATATTTCCTTTAATTCAGCATGCCCTTGATTTTTCCTACCCCCCAATAAATAAGGGGGCTATTTTTCTTGGTACCAGGCTAGCAGCCACTGGGCTTCACACTTTTGTGGTGATTCTTTAGTGAAAGATCACTGTTCTTGCACCTGCAGAACTTGGGAGGAGCAGCCTCTCCCTTTTCCCCTCTCTATGTCAACCAGGCTGGTCCTTTCCCTGAGGAGGAAGCCCACCTGTGACCTGGTCACAGGTGAGATAAGAGGCAAAAGACCCTATTACATCCTCCAATCAGCAGCTTCACTTTTGTGAAGGTTTAGGCCCATGCTTGCTATACAAAGGCAGATAATCACACATTCACTTAGGTAATTGATTCTGGTATCTATTAAGTAGACTCTGGACAGGAAGAGGGTGATGTCCTACATCCTGTGTGCCTGTGTCTGGAATGTTCTTTGCATTAATCTGTGCTTTCAATTGATACTCATTGACTACCTGGTGCATGCCATTGTGCTAGATGCTGAAGATAAAAGGGTGAATTAGATCAACCCAGCCCTGTTCTGATGGTGTTTGTAAATTAAAGTGATTCTCTTGTAAAGTTTCTTCATTTCACTCCCATTCCATCCCTACTTCCTATAGCCAAGTACACCTTTTAATCTTTGTTGTTCCTACAACTTTCATTTGTCACTTCCCAAGGGAAGTATACACACACACACACACACACACACACACACACACACACAAGCAGGCTTGCGTCCCTAAGCCATGCCTGCCAGGAAAAGATGATAACGCAATACAAGGAAATGGCACTTTTAAACCAGAGCTCACACACAGAAGAATTACTATAATCCCAATCCCTTTAACTTTCCTTCTTTCCCCTTCAAGAGACCTGAAAATTCACATATCCTTTGGGTGATTAGTAGAGTGCTTTTCTGGCAGTCTGGGACCGATTTCTATTTTCTTCCTTGTGGCTGTAGCCAGAGCTGCTGACTCTGTCTTGGATTCAGCTCTCTGAGACCACAGGCCCTGAACCCTAACACTCACCGAAGCACTCCAGCTCGGGTTGGGGTGGGAAATAGACACTTCTCTGAGGCTAAAGCTGTCTATTTATCTCCTCAGTGTAGCAATGCTTTACTTTCAGTTTTCTTATTTATTTATTTACTTATTTATTTATTTATTTACACTTAGAGTTTTGGAATGAGTTAATTGAGATATAATTCAGAGAACACTTTAATGGATTCAGGTTTTTTTACTTTAAGGTTTATTATTATTATTGCTACTATTATGTGCCAAATGTTTTTCTTTTCTTCTGTATAGATTTTATTTTTCAGTTGAAAACAATGGAATGCTTCACAAACTCATGTGTCATCCTTGCATAGGGGCCATGCTAACCTTCTCTGTATTGTTCTAATTTTTTTTTTTTTTACAAATAGTTTATTGTCACAGTAGTTTCCACATAACACTCAGTGCTCATCCCCACAAGTGCCCTCCTCCATGCCCATCCCCTCTCCCCCCCACATCCATCAGTCCTCAGTTTTTGTAAGCATTCAAGAGTCTCTCATGGTTTGCCTCTCTCCCTTTCCCCCACCATTTCCTCCCTTCTTCTCCCCCTTGTTCCTCCGTCAAGTTCCTCCTAATCCTCCAGTACGTGTAAACATATGATATTTGTCCTTCTCTGCCTGACTTATTTCGCTCAGCATAACACCCTCAAGGTCCATCCATGTTGCTACACATGGCCAGATTTCATTGTTTCTCATTGCCATGTAGTATTCCATGGTATAGATAAACCACATCTTCTTGATCCATTCATCTGTTGATGGACACTTAGGCTCTTTCCATGTTTTAGCTATTGTAGAGAGTGCTGCTATGAACATTGGGGTACATGTGCTCCTATGCCTCAGCATTTCTATATCCCTTGGGTAAATTCCTAGCAGTGCTATTGCTGGGTCATAAGGGAGTTCTA